TCAGAGATAGTGATACTAAAGAGAACGCATCCTATGGGGAATTCTGTGAGAAGCCTGACATGAGCAACGACGATATAGAGGCTGCCAAGGTAGAATTCTTGAAAAAACTTGCAAAAACCGACTCCAAAATTTCCCAGATCGAGCGAGCCACAAAATCTCAGGATTGCAATTTGTGGCGTCTTCATCGAAGAATGAGGTTGACTGCGTCTCGGTTTGGTGAGGTTTGTAGAAGAAGAGATACAACAAGTTGCAGAGCTCTAGTAAACGCCATAATATACCCAACCGAATTCTTTAGCAATGCATGTGACTATGGAAAAAAGCATGAAAGCGTGGCAAAATCAGAAATAGAGAAATCATATTCGCAATCAGAAGTACAATCTTGCGGGTTGTTTATTGATAGGACCCATCCATTTCTGGCAGCATCGCCAGATGGTTTGATAGGCGAAAAAGGTCTGCTAGAAATTAAATGTCCATGGTCTGCTAGAGAAATAGCCCCTGAAGAGGGCATTCTGAACAAAAAAATTACGTTTTGGATAAACGATGAAATAAATAAAAAGCATAAGTGGTATTACCAAATTCAAGGGCAGCTACACGTTGCACAAAGAGAGTACTGTGTGCTTGGTGTTTGGACCCCGTATGGTTTGAAAATAGACGTCATTCGAAAGGATGACGTTTTCTGGAAAAATGAAATGGAAGAGAAATTGAAATTCTTCTACATGAACTGCTTGCTCCCAGAACTGGTCGATCCCAGAAAAAGCAGAAATATGCCAATCCGCGATCCCGATGTGATCTTGAAGGCACAAGAGAACCGTTTGAACAAGAAAAAGAGTTCTTGAGAATTGGCTATTTTTGCTGTACTCGGGTACCAAAATGGAAGAGATTAGCATATTACATTGTACGCCGTTACTAACCCCTTCGTGTCGGCAAATGCGGTGTGCAGATCTCGCTTTAGCAGCGATGTGCGAGATGTTATGCTAATCTTTTCCATTTTGGTACTAGTACCAGATGTTCACTATTTATTGTATATTATGTATATATTGTTTATTTAAATAAAAGTCAATCGTCAGGCTCAATAGCACGTAGCATCGGCTAGCTTTATCTAGTCTGTTAGATGGCGAATATTGAAATGTCACATTGACACGTTAAGCGCCACAGTAGAATCTGAAAATCCAGTCCACTGGGCCAAACTGTTATTATTGTCTAATTAGCTTGTTTTAAGTTTCGGTTTAATATTTTGACTTGACTTTTTTCTCAAATCCTATGATTTTTCCCCTTTTTTGATTTTTTTTTCTGAGGTACTAATTGTATGTCGCGTGGCCCACAGACCAGTCGGGTCGCGTGGCACATAAGTCGCGTCGCGTTTTTTGCAAGTCAAGACTTGCATCATGTCGCGCGTTGAGCATTGTTTCGTGTCATTTATTATTGCAGCGTTGTTGGTATTGTACGTCATCTTGTCCAAATTGCTTTACTGTTTATAAATTATTGAATACCAAATTTGTGATGTCGCATTACGAAGCGGAGCAAAAAAGGCTTGAACAATTGTGTAATGAAATACTATCGGATGAAGAGAGTGGCAGTACTGAGTTATGTGGGTGGATGTATACTTATCTGATGCGTATTCTCCAAGTGGTAGTGAATCAGATAGTAGTTGTAGTAATTCCATTATTATCTGTATTACTGTTTATTTATACCAGTATTTTGTTTATTCCTGCATAAGACTTTGTCAATCTGTTTAGTTTATAAGAGTTCCTCCATATTTGTGTTCGTTAGAATATCGACATTTACCATAACTTACTGATTTGCTGTGAAATTACTTTGTTCATTTTTGAATGAGAATGTCTGATTATTTTATAAGATTTGCTTTTTGTTTTAGATTTGTAGAATATCCTCTTTTTGTAAAACTCTATAAACAACGTGTTTTTTAATGTTTTCATTTCCAATTCAGTATAATTTGGTCCCTCAGGCCACGGCCTCTTGGTTCCCGTAAGAAAATCACATCAGCATGGCACACGTCTTACGTTACGCGGCCAAATATAACTGCCAGCAGTGAGACATATCATGTGTGTCACGAGGCCCAAAGCGCCAAATGAGGTGCGACACACGCATTATATCTCATGACGCTTATCGTGTTAAGTTTATTTTGCGATACTCCATAAGGTTAAAGCTAAACAGCAAGTGACATTTTATTTGTGGTAAATGCGTTCACTATAATTATTATTTTTAACTAAAAAGATTACCGCCTCCAATGACCCTGGAACCACCTGGATACTTTTGGTCACAAAGTTCTGTATTTGATATGTAAATTGGGAGTTTTGTACAAAAGTATGTAACTCGCAATTTCGAAACGGCGGCAATCTTGGAATCAAATTTTAGTGAAGTACTGTATTCTACAAGGCGGCGACTCTTATTTGAGATAGTAGCAAGTATGTTATCCGCCATTTTGTAACGGCCGCCATCCGAGCCGCCATCTTGATTTGAAACTGTTTTCGTATTACTGTTTTGTACAAGTGCTTCCATTTGATATCCATATTGGAGTGATTGAACAAAAATGATTTTTTGTGGTATCACCTCTGAAGCATGGCCTATTGTATAAAAAGAAATGATCAATATCGATTAAAAATTTCCCCTCTTTCATTGAAGTCTATTAAAAATATCACTTAATGGTCCGATGTTTATCTCGAACGACCGACGTTAAAACTGCTACTGTTTAACTTGGGACAACAAATTATCTGAATACGTCCTTTCTTAGTCCTTACACACCGCCGCGTTGCTTCGACTGGCAGCACGAGATAGTGTATAAAATTCGTGTAAAAGCCTATTTGCAGAGGTTTTCGCGCTTCAAAATTGACGCTTCATTTTTGAATATTTTTCAATGAAATTTTCACAGTGCACTAAAAACAAGACTCCACAGGGTGCTATAGAGCCACTTTTTCGTTTTTTCCTCTGGGTTATTTTTAAAAAAATCGAGAAGTCGAACAACAATTATCTGCACTTCCACCCACCATAACTCCTGAAAAAAATTTTTTTTTAGAAAAGTGGCTCTATAGCACCCTGGACAATTGTCTTCTGAACATACTGTATAAATTTTATTCAAATATATAGAAAAATGGAGCGTCAATTCCGAAGCAGCTAAACCCTTGTAAATGGCCTGAAACTCACTGCGTCGGAGCCGCCTTAAGCGTTCAATTATCTGAAGTGCAGAGAAACATCAGTGACACCCACAGAGGCTGGATTTTTAAGGAATTTGTATTACCTGTTTGAACAAGTCGTTACTGCCCTCAAAGGACTCGCATGCCATGATTGTTTTGTGGCATCCGCTCGACGAGGAAGCGAGCGAGAAGAGCTGACTTAGTGGAGGAGTGAGAGAGAGCTGTTATTATTCATCATTGTAGTTACGCCATCGCCGCACGCCGAGTGAGAATTAGGTTTAGTTGGTATCAACTACTGCGTACGCGCACACGTTTTACGCACGATTATTATTTTCGAGTTTCCCAGTTCATTTCGAGTGGTTTCTTTATCATCATGGCAGACGCAGAAGATCCGCCAGGACCTCGCCATAGCGAGCACGGGAAAACTTTTACAAATGAAGAATACGCAGACATAATGTTCTATTATTGACTTTGTAACGGCGATTCTGCAGCTGCCCGCCGTGAATATCGGCAACGTTTCTCGAATCGCCGAACACCTCATGTTACTGGGTTTGACTCCTTCGTGTGTTTCAGGAAGACCCTACTACGTCTACGCGCATTGTGGCTGCTCAGTACAAAGTATGGGTTACCGTGCATACTGCAAGATTATACCCTTATCACTACAGGCCTGTGCATGTGATTTGAAAAGGGCGATCCTGCAAGACGATTAGATTTCTGCAGGTACATGTTACATGCAGATACAGAAGATCCAGATTAGTTTAAGAAAATTCTGTGGACCGATGAATCGAAGTTTGATAAGGACGGGATCACTAACTACCAAAAGGCTCATTAATGGGCTGATAAAGAAGCTTTAAACCCCCGAAAAATAAGACCGACGGGGTCTCAGAGCCGGTTTTCAGTCAATGTGTGGAAGGGCATCATTGATGGATATTTAATTGGACCTCATTTTCTGCCCGCCAATTTAAATGGAGAAGTGTATTTAGACTATAAATTTCCGAATCAATGGATTGGCAGAGGCGGGCCCATTGCCTGGCCAACAAGAAGCCCAGATCTCACACCGATGGATTACTATGTGTGGGGACATATGAAAAGCCTGGTGTATGATGTTTCGCCCGTACCAACGCGCGATGAATTAATTACAAGGATAATCAGTGCAGCTGACCAAATAAAAAGCCGCTTAACAACTAGAGTTACAAAAGTGAATTACGTAAGAGAATGCAGGCATGTATTTGTAACAGGGGATTACAATTTAAGCAGAATCTGTAAAATACTAAAGGAAATGTAATTAAATAAAACTGTAATTAAAATAAAAGCCTTTTATTTATCCTACGTAATTATCGTTCGTACAACTTTACTCATTTTTTTTAAACTTTATGTCTTTGTACTTGAGTTAGTTGTAACTTTTATACCTCAAATGAAAGCTTGTTAGATAGAGATATTATTTACATAATTTGCACATTCCATTACTAGGAGATTTTTTACAGCAAATTGCATTTTTTATCGAATAATTTAGTAAAAAATAAGAAAATCATACATTTCAAAAGCGTAATTTTAAAACTTATGTAAGTTTTCAACATTTTATTACTTATTATGAACTATTGGAATGTCCGCTATGCGGCGATAACAAAGAACTCAAAATCAAACATGTAGTTTTTTTGTATTTCAAATTTAACCGTCTGAAATCGGAATAAAAAATAAAAAAAATAAAATTCAAATAACTCAAAAACGGTTAACTTCTGGATAGGACATTATAAGACAAAATCGGTTGCTTTTGACCTAATCTATCACCCGTTAACATGAATACGTGACATTACAAGTCACCCTGTATAATTGTTATTTGACTTTACTTACCAGGAACGTGCGTTACTATATATCCGATGTAAAAGGCATACAACGTGAAAGACTCCCATAATGGATCCCATTCAAATTGCACTGAAGATTCTGAAACGACTGATTCATAAGTAAACTCCGGACATGCATCCACAAATTCTTCAGTGCTGTTCGGTGTGGGTTCCTTCAGCATCTCTGTGATGGCGATGTTGTATACAACTCTCAAGTGATAGCAATTCAATAGTGCTAGCTGCATCATGAAGACAAGGATGTAACGTTGTGGTATGAAGTACTTCCCGAAGACACATGATAATGGTTTGAATGGCATGTCTTAAATACTGCTTATAAGTCAACATTTTGTGGTAGAAAAGTATTGCTATTTTTCGACCTACATCTCAGAAACGTTAAACTGACAATAGTAAAGAGAGTGACAGAACAGTGATTTCAGTAAGCAGAGTGATTATTTATTGCTCCCTCTGCACTAGTTTTATGGGTCTCAGACTGATGAGCAAAAATTCCCCATCATCACAATATTTTCCTCTCTCATGGATGCGTTTGTAAGTCATTTGGTGATGTAATACCGTGAACCGTAAACAGTAATGGAATGTAGATTGACTGATGAAATTTTACTCTGAGCTGTTTTCCAGTGGTTTTTGGTTTGAGAATGATACGCTCCCGAGCTGCTCGAGAAACAATGCATGGGTATACCACGTGCAGTGGAACGGTATTGGTGCTGACCCCTACTGAGATACACCGCGTACCTCAACAGAGTCACTGGAAAGCAGCCCTAGAATACAGTGTAACTTTATTTTAATAACCCATAAATTATTACCGTGGCATTTCATCACAAAAGATGACAGCCCACTGATTTCTAACCACGTTTTCTGCGATAATTTTTTTATTATAAAAGACGCTATGGATACGGGTAGCCCATTTTTTCGTAAAAAATATATATTCTGCCAGTTTTGAGCACTTCTTGATAACCTGATAACGTAAACACTCAACGAATTGTTATTCCCACGGTTTTGGGCACGGGAAGAAAAGTGCACTTTTGACGTTCCAGAAGGTTTACTTTGTTATATTTCCAACGCATGGAACAGGTACGTCAAACAATTACGAATGCTGGAATTGTTGCAGAGTAGCTCAAGCTACACTATACGAGGGATGTTAAGTTTTTCATATGGAAATAAAACAACACGGTAGGTAGTTTTAAATGACTTTATTGTTTTTCGAAGTATTCTCCACGAAGATAATACGTATCTGCATGCATTCGAATCAATTTTCGAAACACTTATTCCACTCGTTTGCTGCCAGATCCAAAACGGCATTTTTGAATGCGTCAACTGCTTCTTCTGGTGACTGGAACCTTTGCCCACGCACTCTGTTTTTAATTTTCGGTTAATTAAAGAAATCAATAAGACTTAGATTGGGACTATATGGAGGATGGTCCAATAATTCCACGTTTTCTCCCGTTAAATACTGCCTTGTTTTTTGGGCTCTGTGCGAGCTTGCATTGTCTTGGTGGAGAATGATTCTTCTTTCGGGGTTGATTTTTCGAAGCTCGGTGATGACTTTTGGCAAACAAATGGTGGTATACCAATCCGCAGTAACAGTTCTTTGCTCATTAAGAGGAATTGGTGCAATATGACCCGCTTTTGACACAAAGGTCGCGACCATCTTTTTCGAAACACTTTGAGAACGGGTGACTTTTGTTGGCTTTTCTTCACCTTGGAACACCCAAACAGCCAACTGTTGTTTATTTTCTGGTTCATAACAGTAAATCCACGATTCATCACCACTAACAATGCTGTATACATTTTTGAGTTCGGGAATTGAGACGGTCAAGCGTTTTTTGACCTGGCTGCTTTCTGCTCTTCAGTCAACAGGTGGGGTATCCAACGAGAAACTAATTTTCTTAATCCTAATTCTTCAAGTAAAATTTTTTGAATTGAGGTCTTTGAGATCTTCAAGGACGCCTCAATCTCGCGATATGTCACATGTCTATCTTCAATGATGAGTTTGCGCACAGCATCGACGTTTTCCTGGGTGACTGCCGTGTTTGGTGCACTCACCCTGGGATCGTCGCTAAGACTCACCCGTCGTTGACGAAAACAGACAGTATCTCAGCAAGGCATTCTTGTTGCGATAATTGTCTCTGAAAGTTGTAATAAATTATGGCGCGAAGATGTTCTCGGTTGAGTTCCATTTTTCTAATGACTTGGTGACATTTAAAAATCCACGTAGTGAGAACACTGCACTTATTGTTGTAAAACTTTGAATTTAAGTTTACTAAAGAGTGAGGTTAAGATTCAGTACTGACGTTCGATCCGCGCGGCCTACTGTGTTTCTATATGCAAAACTTAAAAGACATCCCTCGTATAACAATTCGCAAACACAGGCCTGCCTGAGGGAGCATGTTGCGAGTAACTGACGTATACAGAAAAAAGTTCTGGGGGGTGTTCAGCAAGGTACCACGGACTCATTTTACTCAGTTTTTTGGCTACTCATTTTTACTCATTTTTGTTGCCTCGAATGCTAATTTCTCTCATTATTTTGGGATGCTTCACAACGCAGTAGCTCCGTTAGACGCTCAGGTGTTCAAGTAAAACCTATAATCTATAATATATACAACCCTCTTCCTATCTCTAATTTTTCCAATCACTCATGTTTTACTCATTTTACTTCACACGCCTACTGACGAGCAAGTGTTGTTATTGCGAAAAATTTCGAACTTAAGATGTTCCTGATCATTTTCGGAACAATTTTTGCAGAGGTTGTAACGGTTTCACCGTCCGATTGTATTTATTAAATCACTTCTCGATTATCATTTCAGAATCGCAAGTCATTAATCCCATCTCTAGCTTTTTTACTTGGAAACATTTCCGCTTGTAGCGCGCTTGATGCGGAGTTCCTGATCTGCGATCTTCCTCGCGCTTCCTTTTCACTTGAGCCGCCGATCTAACAAGAGCTAAGAATTTTGTTCTCTGTAGCATGACGTCATATAACACCATGTGCTAGCAGTTTGTAAAATGTGTGTCCAAATAGGACAAAATGATTGGGGCCACCCCCTTTCCCTTTCCCTTTGCCTTTGTCTTTGACTTTGCATTGCTTGGCCTATCACTTCACCCATGCATGTGCCTTGGCAGCGCCATCACCTTTAAGTTCAACTTCGCCTACATCTAGTTTTGAAGGCACTAAATGTGAGGTCACCCCTCATAACTGCGACCTCCACTTCAAGCACCTGGCCATCCTCGCTTCAGTCCAGTCAAAATGGACCAGCTTTGCGAAAGATAAGTGTATAGTTTTATAGCAGCGCCAAAGATTTAAAACTTATTTTGTTCTTTAAAATTTCAATTTCAAATGTAATGAAAGTGCTTTTCAAGTTAAATAAAATCTGTTAAATTTTTGTGTTCTGTTTGTTCTTCTATCCTCTAGCCATGCCATGGTCGACACACAGCTACACGCCTGTAGATGTCTTCATGCCACCGACTGAGCTACCGGAAGCTAATGGTAACCCGCTTTCTGTGATTGTGCAGAAAAGTTGGAATCTTCATTGCATTCCATCTTTTCTGGACTTTTTGCGGAAAGGAAGGCTTACATAAATTGGGGGTTGGAATTTTAGGGGGTTGGGGAGAGTAAATCTCAATTTTTTATTCGTGATATATTCAGACGCTTCCTACCCCGCTAATTCTACGCACCTATTGGCACATACAGATTTCCCCGTACAATTGCTCTTAAAATTGAGAAATATCAAACATATGTGTTACGTCTATGTCGCACTAGCCATACACAATTCAATTTAATTACTCACAAATTCAAACATTTCGTATTTGTGAGAAAAACATACGTTACTATACACTATACTATACACAAACGTAACCCATCCTTTTTTGCATAAAAATAACATTTATCTTCCGGAATGATTTTCGATTTATATCGGCAAGGTAAACTAGTGTATTTTGCTATAATGCCCTTTGAACTAACACTGTATATTGCTCAAAAAACTGGTAATGATGGCGGGAAGACAGGAGTTTTGGGATAAACAATTAGAAATTCTCAAAAACAACTTAACCAATCTAGTCCAAATTTGTTGTGGTTATTTAGAAGTACGAATCTCAAGAATTTGAAGTATTTCAAATATCTGCGAGAAACCATCTTCGCATTACCAACAAGCGCCAAAACCTGCAATTTGCCTCGGTTTTCGGCCATAACATTTTTGCTGTTAGTCGGATCTTTCTACGTGTGATCTCATTTTGTAGGTCTCATAAATACCTAAAAATCTTATACGAAGGATTTTTTCGTTCCTGCCAACACTTTCGATTGAATCTCAAAAAACACGTCTCATTCTTTGTTGTCAAATAAAAAGTTTTCCCTCAAAAAATTGGTGTACCCATTTTATGCGCCCATGTTTTGAATACCCCTTTGAATAACCTGTACCGATAAAACCAGACTTTACAATTATTTCGTAAACCAGTGGTATTTTCGTCTAATCATGTATGATCAGAATTTTTGTAATACACTTTTGATGGTCAAATTTTGAAAATACATTGTTCTAACTCCAACAGCTTATCTAGTTTACTAACGTTCAATTTTGTGTAGTACAACATATTATCCGTGTTGGTGAGTCGGGCATAGTTGAACAAAATTTCTAATATTCTATTTTGCGAAACTTGTGCTTTATGAAATTCAGTTTTGCTACATATTCCCCAAAAACGAAACATATACTTAAAGTGTGCCAAGAAAAATGCATTATAAATGTTTATTTTACTTTTTGTAGTTAAGTAGTATCTGCTCTGTGCAAAGCATCGACGTTGTTTTATATAAAAGAATTTTAATGTGACTAGAAAATTCTCATCGATAATTTTATTTATTTGATGGTTGATAGTTTTTCTACATACTTTGACGTTACTTGATCTTATACAGGGCGTTTCAGTTTATTGTTGCATAACTTTAAGATTCGATAGAACTTTTAAAATTAATGTATAAAGTCTACTTAAACATGAGTCGAAAAATGCGTGGCTTCCGAACTACAGGGTGTTTAAATTTACTTTCTAAAATAGTTTTTTTTAAATATTTCGAACAATATTTGATGTATAACAGTGAAAATTGATATACAAGGGTTTTTTGGTACGACAAAACGAACCATGGGCATAGTTTTACTGTAGCCGCTAGAGGGCGCTCTCTACTGTACCTGTAGTGTAAAATGACCGACAATTTGTTCTTAGTGCAATTTTTTGCTTTTTGAATAAAAAAAATGATTCTTCGCACTTTTCTGCATAAAAAAGCTCTCCTGTGAGTTTTCGTTATAGTTAGCCGTTTTTGAGATATTTCGATTTTTAAGGTTCGATGCATTTTTAATTATTTATGATAAAATAACGTTAAAAAGTCAGTATGTCGATAATTTTTAGAAGTAGGCTGTGTGAGTCATGCTTCACTAGACGTGGAGTGGTAAATTTTCATAATCAACATATTTGGTCGCATGAAAATCCGCATGCAGTTCGGGAAAGAAATTTTCAGCATGAATTTGGTGTGAACGTGTGGATTGGTATCTACCGTAATCGACTATTTGGACCCTACCTTTTGCCTGCAAGGTTAAATGCTGCGACCTTCTTGGAATTTTTAAAGGCTGAACATGCAAATATGTGGGATGATGTTATGTTAGATTTAAGATTGGCCTGGTTCCAGCTTGATGGTTGTCCAGTTGATTATTCGAGAATAGTTAGAAAGTGGCTGGACGAAAATTATCCAGAAATATGGATCGGCCGTGGAGGACCAGTCGCCTGGCCTCCACGATCCCCTGACCTAAATCCATTAGATTTCTTTGCGTGGGGATTTGTAAAAGAAAAAGTGTACCAGACTCCCGTAACCACAAGAGATATGCTAATAGACAGAATCAGGAATGCATGTGATGAAATAAGGCCTTATTTAAATAATGCTATACCACGTTCGATCATTCGTAGATGTGAATTGTGTATTGAACAATTGGGTTTACATTTCGAGCAACTACTTTAGATTTTGTATGTTTGTCCTAACTATCCAATAGCATTTTAGTTGTAAATAATTAATTTAATTTGTTAAAAATAATATTGGATAATTAAACAAATTAATATTCCGTTTTTTTGTGTTTATTTGGAGTTAGGAATTATTGCTGTGTTTAAAAACACAATCTAAACGATCATCTTAATTACTTGTAATGCCCAAATCGAAAATGTAAAATAAATATTATTTTCCCATAAATAATTAAAAATGCATCGAACCTTAAAAATCGAAATATCTCAAAAACGCCTAACTATAACGAAAACTCACAGGATAGCTTTTTTGTGCAGAAAAGTGCGAAGAATCATTTTTTTTATTCAAAAAGCAAAAAATTGCACTAAGAAAAAATTTTTGGTTATTTTAATACACTACAGGTACAGTAGAGAGCGCCCTCTAGCGGCTATAGTAAAACTATACCCATGGTTCGTTTTGTTGTACCAAAAAACCCTTGTATACCAATTTTTACTGTTATACATCAAATATTGTTCGAAATACTTAAAAAAAACTATTTTAGAAAGTAAATTTAAACACCCTGTAGTTCGGAAGCCACGCATTTTTCGACCCATGTTTACATAGACTTTATGCATTCATTTTAAAAGTTCTATCGAATCTTAAAGTTATGCAAAAATAAACTGAAACACCCTGTATAGAAGTTTTCAACTATTTTATTATTCTGTTTAAAGACTAGATATCTTGTTTTATCGATGTTGATTTTCAGTTCATTCGAATACAATCATTTACAGTAAGATCTAATTTTCTATGTCAAGGGAATATCTGTGTCGTTAGCAAAAGTAATATACCTTGCGTTAAGATTAGCTTTCTTTAGATTTAGAACATACAGAGTAGTATACTAGTGGCCCCAAGACTAACCCCAAGACATCTTTGAAAAAATATCTGCTCTAGTCTGGTAGCAAAACGGAAGAGAGCGGCAAAACACATCGTACACTACTGCTAACTCAGGCACGTCTTTGAATACGAGATTTTTCACTAATCTGGACACTTTAGAGCGCAGTGTCAAAAAATTAGAAATGAGCATGGGAAGTACAGAGAGAGTGTACTTGACTACTTTTCTTCAAAACATCTTCTGGATTAAGCATTTATTTACGTTCGTTTGGATAATCCGAATAAAAATGGGTATAAAATGACAGACTCGGCAACACTGCCTAACGGCGCTAACCGTCGCCGTCGCGCCGCCGGCCACGACGTCGACGTCCGACGTCGCCGCTTCGCGTCCGTTCAGTCGTGTCAACAACGCGTCTCGTAAAGTACGCGTCAAGCGATTCACAAGCGATCCGCGCACATGTGCTGTCTACGAAGCGAACGCGACCGCACTGCGACTTTACATAACACGCCATAGAAACAAACGAAGTACGTAACACGCGGGAAACGGCCTACTGGATTATTTGACGAGTTACGCATTTGTTTCAACCCCTTTGTCGATTTTGTTTAGTGGTTTCGGATTTTGCCGCGCAACAGGCGGGTATAAGACACGTACACTACGTTATGTAACTGGACTTGATTTGGGTGGATGGCATCCGTTTGTGGACTACTTTGAAGATATCATTTCTGTCTCGCAGAAGTACAATTTGTTGTCCAAGGTAAGTTTGTTTTATACTTGAAGTAATAATTGAACATATTGAGTTTGTTTACCATGTAATTGCCTCCTTCATTATTATTTGTTCGCATAACATACGACGTTGCCTGGGCCTACTTGCATAACAAAAGGGTTTACAGGAAACGACGAAAGCAATGTGGTTTTAAGCTTTGTTTACCGATTTATGGTTCCAGATTGGCTCTGATCCATACCTCCCCATAAGATTAAATGTCTCATATAAGCTCCTGGTGGACAAACCCTCTTATCACCAGTCCTCCATTTTCTATGCCCTCTGAAGCAGGTTCTGCCCAAGACTACCAATGCCTAGTCCATGTATACGATTTGCACTCGAACTAAAGGCCAGATCTTTCCTTGCAAAAACAAATACCCTATCGTCTCCTAAACTCGGGTGACAGGACTATCTGCTCCAGTATAGGCTGTATGTGGAAGTGCAGAGCTTCTCAGCAAAATAATGGTTCAGTCTTTCTTTCCATCATAACGACTGCACGTTGGATATGCCATTGTCAATATATACATATCATCATTATTCAAAAAGATGTCCATCCACTTCAGCGCACACCGTCGCAAAATTTGTTCATCGCCCTTCGGGCCATCACTTGCCACACCGACGCGTTACGCATACTTCTATAATCATTCTTAGGTATCAAAGGGCAAGCGGTGGGTTCCCGCTGGAGGGAACGCCGACATGCTCCTCCGCACCCGGTCCGAGTTACCTAGGAAGGGTTTTTTCAGAAGCATCAGAGAGCATGAATCCCTCTCGATGCCGGGAGCACCTGTTGTCATCCCCCCATCCATATGACATATCTGTAGCCTGGATGCTAGGGTATATCGAGAAACTCTATGGCACTGCTTTCGATACTCAATGAAGCATTTCATCTGTCGGCATCGGAAAACATGCTGTCTAGCTGCCGAATCCCACAGCATGTTTTACGAAGCTGAACGAGAAAATAACCTTCTGCGTCAACATGCCGTGGCATCCCCCAGCTACCATGCCCGGAGCATCCGTTGTCATTCTGGCAGCGCGGCTCTCGAAACTCCATGAAAGATTTTATCTACCGGTATCGGAGGGCATGCTGTTGGATGCCGCAAATACCGCCAATATCCCACCAGAATAATATCTATAGTATGGCAGCCTAAGAATGACGCGGCTTGCCGACGCCTCTCGCGAACGAGTCCCACAGCGTGCTCCCCGATGCCGAAAGAGAAACAATCTCACTGGAGTACCGAATAGATCCCTGACGGAAAACGTCAACGTCCTGCAGCTACCAGACATAGATGACGAAAACCACGACGAAAATCCTTTTCGGTACTCACCCCTGTCGTCTCCCGATATATGCTAGCCCTTACCCTCATGATTCCCCTCCCTTGGATGCAGTGTCATCCTAAATCCTGGTCTCCAAGTATCGCAATAGTTGAAAGAAGCAGCAGATAATATCAGTTCTCGCCACCTATGATATATCTGTAGCCTGGATGCTAGGGTATATCGAGAAACTCTACGGCACTGCTTTCGATACTCAATGAAGCATTTTATCTGTCGGCATCGGAAAGCATGCTGTTGGGTACCGCATATTCCGTCGATACCCCGCCAATTTACAACCCTCCAGGTGTACCAAAGTGATCTCCCCGAAGCAAGCGTCAACGTACCGCGGTATCTTTCAGCTACCTGCTGAGAGAATTCGTCGTCAACCGGCTAGCTATCAGATACCTATCGCCTGGATTCTTAAGGATAACTCCAGTGTACCATTATGAATGATATTATCAGCTGACATCAAAGAGCATGACGCCTCTAGCTGCCGAATCCCACAGCATGTTTTCCGATGCCGAAAGAGAAAAGAACCTTCTGCGTCGATATGCCGCGGCATCCCCCAGCTATCATACCCGGAGCATCCGTTATCTGCCGGTATCGGAGGGCATGAGATCCCCGGTGGAAAACGTCAACATCCTCCAGAGATAGATGACGAAAATCAGGTCGAAAATTCTTTTCAGTGCTCACCCCTGCCGTCTCCCGGTATATGTTAACCCTTACCCTCTTAATTCCGCTCGCTTGGATGCATTGTTATCCTAAATCCTTGTCTCCAAGTATCGCAATAATTGAAAGAAGCAGCAGATAATATCAGTTCTTGATCTAAAAATATTCTATTATATTTTGAATCATGCATTGGAGTGAATCACTATACTCACGTAATTTTGCAAGTGCAAGTGTTTATCATATCATCATGACGCATCAGAGACCTCCTCTGAGACGTATTTATTTTTGGGAATAAATGTAGGTAGATCATCGAATTATACTCGGCTACCTTCTCAGAAGACATATACATATTTTTTTAAAAAGTTATATAACGCTTAATGGCAATGGATTCTTTATATCTACATCGCTACAAAAACAATTAATCAAATTGCGGTTTTGTGGATCACGAAGACGTTATAGAAGTAACGCCGCCGACACAACCTTCTTAGGTAATATATTTGCACAAAATCTTGTATAACACAAATGATGTTATCGCGAAACATACTGTGGAGATTTTACGACAGACGACGTGAAATTGAATCTAAAACAACGGTAGAATCAATGTTCTCTATGCAAAAAGTATATTTCAAAAGTTGTCTGAAAGTGTAGGATAACAGTTGTTTTGTACTGAAGTAGCCGAGAGGCCAGATACTTGATACTGAAGTAGTGTCACTGCTTCAAAGGTGTTTTGGCTTTAACTTGCCGTTTCTTGGATCATGAAGAACTTAGGCGCGTATCGTCAGTCGTCCCTACAATTGTAGGGCGCCTTTATGGCCTCCTTGATTGTCATAGTTTTCTACTTCTCCGCATCAGAACTCTATTTTGAGGTTATGTCACAAACATCTATTTGCATCAAATTGTGCTTGCTTTTGAGTTATATCATGTTTTATCAGTCTGAAATTTCCTACAATTTAAAAAGAAAACATATCTTCACAATAGGAGGGCGCTGACGCTGACACGGGACAAGTGTGATTTAGAAATTTTTGAAGGAGAGAAAGCAGTATGACAATCAAGGAGGCCATAAACGCGCCCTACAATTGTAGGGACGACTGACGATACGGGCCTTAGAGTAGGGAATTTGGAAATGCAAATGACCTCTTCGGCTATGCTAGCATACACGTACCCGTTTGTTAAAATACTCCATGGTTTTGCATTGATATGACTGCTCCTCCAAAGCATTGGTGTCTCTGGTACTTCTTTCTGTCTAAATTGGATAATACTCATGTGGATAATGGGTTGAAGAAGATGCCACACGTCATCCAGTCTGTGAAACAATTTAGTCACTACACGAGACGTTTCTTGGTCGTACACTCTTTTCCATGATTACAACTGCCGCCCCGAGATTATGTTATTTAACACCATTTCGTATTTATGGGGTTTAAGTCAAAGGTCTCTATCAACGAGCAAAAGAAAAATAACAAATCTAAAAAAGAAACACTATAATTCTCAATGTTTGTCACCACGGTGGACTTTTTCAAGTACAAATGACAATTTTGATGACAATATATTTTGTCTTTAAAACATCAAACAGTATTTCAAACATATGTGGTTTCATTTAGTGGCCAGACAAACATGGAGAATTATCAGAATAAAAATCACAGAATATGCTTCAAGTGTTACATTACGAAACACTGCTTTTTAGTTTCAAATTTAAATTCACATCTGGTGTGAATTTTAGAGCCCATCTTGTTGACACAGTTTTTCGGTTCCCAAAGTCAGCAGAATCTTTTCTGAGCGATTAGTTCCTATTATCGATTCTAGAGACCGACCAATATAGAATTTTCACCGACGCCGATAATTGGCCGGTATTAACAATATCGGTCAATCGGCCATTCATTTCTAGGTGTGAATAAAAGGGTTGCATAGCATAAAAACAAGTCAAAAGTTGCAACAATCTTGTATAGTTTAATGCTTCTAAAACACAGTACCGTACCTTGATGAACGAAAAGCGTCCTAGCGGTCATCTGGTTTCGATGGAAGGCCGAGTTCTACCAAAGGACCGTTCATTTCGGCTAGTCGAAGTCCATATCACCGAGGACTTGATCTGGCACGTACACATCTCGTCAATTGCGGCAGCTGCTGGGAATAAGTTAGGCGATTTTTTAAGGCTAAGAAGTGTTTTGTTCGCACGACCTCCTCACTCTGTACAAGGTCGAGATATGTCATATCCTCGAGTATTGATCACAAGTTTGGGGGACTCAGAGGAGAGCTGTCCGACTGAACCATGACTCGGGATCCTTTCGCACCGGCTGGCTGTCGGCGATCTAGCTCTCTTCTACCGCTACGCCAATTCGCTTAGCTCCTCAGATCTCTCCTCCATGATGCCGCCTCGCGATGTGCTTGCCAGACAGACACGCGTCACATCCAGAACTCGCCGATACGACCGCTCCGTTGTCGCTAGCGTATCGATATTGTGGAACAATCCATAGTTCTACTAACCTCAGCCAGCTCAAAAATCGGATTAACAAAGTTTCTTTAAGCTCCTCATAGCAGCCGCGGTGCCCTGGTATTTAGGCTTCTGCCTGCGCGGCTGCTTCTGTGTAAAAAAACTCCATCAGTTACGACTGTGGTGATACTGGGTCTGATAATAACGGTAATGCCTCTGTTTTGTGTTGATGGCTGCGAGATAAGAACTAACCCGTTATCAGGAATCGGCAACACAGGACATCAGTATTATGATCTAAGCAGTAAACTATCAAATATAATAAGAATTTCCTGGGAGTGTCATCACGGTCTCTTTTTACTTTCATTTTTCGTCTCTTCAGGCCTAAACGAAAATTATTCAATCCGAGCACACTGAAATAAAATTTCAAATCAACGCTCGAAACATGAAATTGGAACGCAAAATACTGTTGTACTAAGTTGCAAGCAACTTTAGTGTCTCGTTTAAAAAAATATGTTGCATGAAACAGGCTTTTCTAGTATGCATGTGGCGCTTCGTCGCCGAAAACAGACAGCAACTCAGCAACGCATTCTTGTTGCGATAATTGTCTCTGAAAGTTGTAATACATTATGGCGCGAAAATGTTCCCGGTTGAATTCCATTTTTCTAATGACTTGGTGACACTTAAAAATTCACTGTAGTGGGAACACTGCACGTATTATTGTGAAACTTTGAATTTAATTTTACTAAAGAGTGAGGTTAAGATTCAGTACTGACGTTCGATCCGCGCGGCCTACTATGTTTCTATATGCAAAACTTAAACCTCGTACTTGAAGTGAGGTAATTTCATTGTTTCAAAGAAATATAGTTTTTACAATTAAGAAATACATCTCAGTTCAAACATATCAAAGTCACGATCCTCATTTCACCACTTTTGAACCAATAGCACTGTTTTTTGGGGGAGGCGGAGAGGGAGGCGTACAAAATAGGCTGACATTGCCGGTACGCCTAGCAATATAAATAACGGTATCGATTGATCCCCAATCGATACTCTAGGAACAAAGAAGCTCTCGGACTGACCAGTTCTCTATCTGCACAGTTTTATCCAACCAGAATGAGAAACAGACATTTCGCAGACCTTTCTGGGAGGTCTGGAAGTTGGTGGCATATTTAGTTGATGTATGCAGTAGAAGAGAGCCACCACCGGTCGTCCGTTAATGTAAAAGAATCTTGAAACCATCTGTTAGAAGCGTTACACTTCTTTTAATTACGTCTGATATGCAAAGCGTAGTCAAAGCAGCAGCTTCCCAATTATGTGAAAAGTTTTCCAGGCCGGATCTTACCAGAGCCTTGTGTGAGGAGGTTCAATGAAAAAAAATATTCCCTAGCTCTAAACAAATTAACGTATTCTACATGAAGATAGTCAACCTACTGCTATATTCCCGCGCCCAAAAAATTATCCTAGATAAAATGAAATACTGTACTGTCATCTATGAGAATTTGTCACAGCTGTTTCTCTATATACTATACAGGGTGTCCAAGATAAGGGTCCTATGCATGGCGATCTCAAGACCTGTGGAAGATACTGATCAGGTTAAATTAGGAAATAGCTGCGTTCTTTGGGGCATATTTAAATGCTGTTGAGAAACTAAAAATTTCATGGCTTACTGAGAAGAAGACTAAAGTTTAGGTTGGATATCTTCAGGTAAAATGCGTTAATCAATGCCTTAACTAATGTTAGTTTTTATACTCAAATAATTGCTGTATAAGTTATCTATTAGGTATCGTTGTCTAATAGTTCCTTTTATTTTTTCCAGCTACGTGTGCTCACCCTCGAAGTGCCATAACAATAATCATCGGTGATATTGCATAACGCCGGTTGTCAAAAGTGATCCGCCCGGCCAAACACAAAAGATTGCGCAAGCCACGTTAAGGGAGGGGGTAAAAATCAATATCCACCCTCCCCGGACCGACAGCGACCACGTGCTGTGCTTATGCCGGAGTTGTGAAGTTGTGATCAGTTGGAGATGCACCGCGTTACAGACGGCAATGACTTCTTCCGGAAATACCCGGAATTGTTTACCTCTCTGTCGTCTCCGGCGCGACTCAAGTGCGAAGGAAGAGTACTGAGGAAGGACACGGAACGTGCGAGGAGGATACGCAAGTACCGGAGGCAGCCGAATTACAGGTTAGTTTTATTATTAGTTGTACGAAAAAAAAATCGTAACTTTAGGTTTAAAGCACAACCTACAAGCAACGTAGTCTAGCCGAGTAATTTTTCTGGGCCTGTACGTGTTTTATTACGCTTGAAATAGGAATTATTAAAAATTCCATTATGGGATGTTCTCTATTTACATAACATAGAAAGGCCCAAAATTAACACATACACACACACACACACAAATTTTTGGTCAAATGAGCAAAGTCATAACTTTTTTAACAACAACTTGACCAGTTTTGCGGCAAACGATAGGTAATCTGGTTAGTATTAATTTGCATGCCTAATTTCTTGCTGATTGTACGGTGTAAAAGGTAAATTGAAATGAAGATTCACTACCCTAATTTTGGAACTTGGTCAGCCCACCATACATACCGCAATGCCTTCTATTATTGAGACTTGCATTTTCCATGCAAAGTTTTTTATTGATGTAAATAGGGCCTGTGATTGAACTTTTAAAGTCAAATGATCTGTTTGCCACCAATTTATCTTTCTCCTTTCATAACGTTTTTAATCTCTTCCCAACTTCAACAATCTTTTACGAAATTGTACAGAAATGCCTTTCTATGACACATTCGAGGTTTTACTTCCCACGCCTACTGACGGCGAAAGTATTTTCGAAAATAAGATATCTTGGTTTTTGATGTTATATGATAAAACCATGTCACTCATTTCCGACGATTTTTCTGTCGGTCTGTCCGCAAATCCTTGGTCCGTCTATAATGAAAGTATTGCTCTGATTTGGATGAAATTTTTACACAAAGTTCGTACTATAGCAAGGATCAAGAAACATCGCCCAGTTGTGTGCAAAAAGCGAAAAAGAAAAGTCGCTCAAATTTCGTTTTTTATCGTTCTGATCATTTTTGAAAATTATTCAGGGGTAAAAAATGGGGATCGGAGGGTTGCAGGGGGGGAGAAGAATGTAAAGTAATTTTTTGATGTTAGTATATTAATACAATACCAATTCCGGTAATTTGATGCGCCTATTTGACATATTTCAAATATAGATTTCCCCGTACACTAGCCCCCAAGAGTATTATCAAACGCGAATCGTGTCTCGATCTCGGGTCTTAGCAACATTGCTAGATGCGAAAAAAGCATGTAGTAGGTGATGAGATATGCACAGATACGAGGGGTACAAATTATCTATATACAGGGTGTTCGTTAATGATATGCGAATATAATAATATGAATATAATGAATGTGAATAATATGTGAATCTACATGAAAAATTAATGTTAGTTTGCTTTCTATACTATGGTCCAAAAATGAATCCTTAGAAAAACTCGGGGTGTTGAAGTTTTAGTAAAAAAATGGAAATTAATTAATATATTCAGAACCGCTTCAGATATTTCACTGACATTTAGTACGTAGTGAAAGTTAATAAAGTTGCATGTTTTTCAATGCAAAAATAATTTTTAGCTTTAACAGTGGCGTGCGTACGAGTATTGACTTCGATATTTTTTAACAAAAAAAAGGTACGCCAATAGTTTTTTGCAAATAAAAATTATTTTTATTTATTTATTAAATTTAAAACAAATGATCTCTCTTGAATTGTTTTCCTTCAATGCGCCATTTTTGAGTAAAAAATAAAATTATATGACAAAAAACCATTGGCATTGAAAAATATGTAACTTTATTAACTTCCACTATGTACTAAATATCAGTGAAATATCTGAAGCGGTTCTGAAAATATTAATTAACTTCCATTTTTTTCCTAAAACTTCAAAACTAACATTAATTTTTCAGGTAGATTCATACCCTTAAATATTCGCATATCATTAAGGAACACCCTGTATAGAGCATAATGCTTGTAGTGTAATTTCGTGAGGTTACTTGATGTCGGAAAATAATATTATATAGTATAGTATATACACGAGTAGTAAATAAGAAAATATCAAGAGCCACTATAGTCCGTTATTAAACATTGTTGATAAACATTTTTACACCGGAGGCGGAGGTCCAAAAAAATGTATTGCTGCAATCTGAGGAAAATGTTTGTTCATGAAGAGCCCAAATAGTGCTCACAAAACCTTCCTTTTTTGGTGCAATATGAAAGACAAAGAAGCAAATAAGAAAAATAAAAAGGCAATACTACCAATGTGACTTCAGTTAAGCTCCTATTATACTTGCTGCTCCATAGACTACCGTATTTTTTATGAAGAAACTTGTGTAGATAAATAATAAACTATGCAAAGAAAAACAATTGTGGCTTCGATTTAAATTCCTATTATACTTGCTGCTCCACAGACTATCATATTTTTTAATGGAGAAACTTGTAGAGGTATATAAATAATAAGCTACGACAATACCACAAATGCACTAGCTTACAGAACAAGACTGTCGATATTTATTCAAGAGATCATCAAAAAAAGGAAACTGCTTTTGGAAAAAATACATCATACATCGTGCCTACAATTCTTTGATTTATGAAAGTTGCGTGTCTTGCATTCAGGCCGCCTAATTAGCCAGTCGAGTAATTCACTAGTCGACAAAAGCGGGTACTTGGTAAAATGGGCCGAATATCGAGTACAAACCGAGTACTCGATGCATCCCTAGTATCTCCTAACAACAAATTCCTTTTTCTAGGAGAAAACAGTTCGAGGCAGCCTTCTTCCGCACCATGGACCAAAAAACCGAGCTTTTCACGTGTCCAGTGTGTCGACAAATCTTGAAAGGCGCAATTACTGTTGAATGTGGACACACCTTATGTGGAGAGTGTTTAGAAAGAAGCAGAAACAGTTGCAAAGTGTGCGAAGCGGACTTAGAGGGGGGAAAGAGGTGCGTCAACGTTCTCGTGCAAGACCTGGTGGAGAAATGGAGGGAAAGGAATCGAAAGGTGCAAGATACTGGTAAGTATCGCTTTTGCTCCTAATATTTTATGAATCTGTATTCACTGATTACACTATTATTAACTACTTTCTGTCCACAATCCCATCAACCAGTGGCAGACGACGTGGTTTGGTTCTTATTAGTACTCGTCAGTATGACATTGGTATTGGGTGGGGAACATAATCAGTGCCTATTTGAGGATTTTTTGCGTTTGATCTGCCCATTAGGCGATCTAGAATACAAGACTGTCAGATTTTACGTCCCTAGGCCTCTTTCTACAATATGTTTATTCCAACAAATCAAGGTCTGAAGCAGTAATATTTGGGAAGCTATTAAAAATATTCCTACCGAAAGATGAATAGAAACGCAACCAAGCGTTTCCGGAGGCGGGAAATTATGATACATTTCCATACATAATTTCTTACTTTTAATAAAAAATTAAGGTGATCAGAAATAAATCTGGCTGTTCTGAATATGTTTGCTTACCATCTCCGTAACCATGACCAATCGCAAAAACGCTGTTTCGTGATATTTCGCACTCGTCAGTACGGTATAGCTCTAGACTTTGAGACAGACAAGGAGAATGCAAACAAGTGTGTTTGCTCTTTTGAAAAACTGGCAAATAATTTGTAGGTGACTCTTGTCACATTTGTCACCTATCTAGATATAAGAGAAGCAAATCAGCAAGGTATATATTTCTTCATTATCTGTCACGACATAGTTCACTTCTGTACGTTATATGTTATCAGGCTTCAATGAATTTGCCAAGGTACTATTCAAGGCGAACCAACAAAATGTTCACAATTTTTAGAAAGAAATGTGACACTGAACTATTTAAGCTTTCAACATGTAGCGATATATCAATGGATAATAGTCATATAACTAATATCATAGGCATTGATGTAGTTACGCAAACGTATTACTCTTTCATTGTTACAAAATTATACCTGTATAATACATTATAATACTCTAGCGATACTCGTCGACCTTTACAGGGTGATTCAATAAATAGTAGTAATAGACTAGGGTAGAAACAACTTCCAGAATCAACGCGAAAAGTTGGTTCCTGAAATACCATCTGACCGAGATAAGAGGTTTTTAAGCTGTATTTACGAAATCGAGAAAAATTTTATCTTCGAGAGGGAAAGAGGTACCAACTAAAAATTTTTACGTATAGTAAAAACAATGTAACCTATACACATACGCAACTAGGGTATATTAGCTTCCATAGAAGACAGTTATTACACCATTGTTTTTTTCAAAACACCTATTGCTTGTTTGAATGGCCTATTTAATAAATTGACTTTTGTGAGAAACGTTTACCAGAACGTTACTCTATATTCTCGTATGTTTAAAAATGTTTTGTGAAGCTTTGGATTCATATTTAGTACCAGAAGTATTGCTACTGTTTTGTTGAATCACCTTGTATGCCTAAAATCGTATATGCTGATCGAATGAAATATTCAACACGTCGCATTCCTGGAGACCAAGCATTTCATGGCCTACCTTCTCTGTAACAGCGAATAATAATTGATGGTAGTTAAGTTTGAATAATTTAAATCTTCATTGCAGTAGATAATAAAATTGATATCGGTTCAGTCGAGCATGTATTTCACGAAATATTGATTTCACATTGTATGTCCCATCAGTTGCTTTGTAATTATGCATTAGACAGCTTGACAAATGACGATTATGATGCGACCTGGGTTAAAGTTAAATCGTCAAATCTTTGCTTTTGTTTTAGTCAAAATTCATTCATTTTCCCAAAGTCTGCTTGCTCAAATAACGAACACCAATAACAGACTATGCATAGGTATGAAAAGGTGAAATTGTAATCATTGACATTTCTGCAACTTCATTAATATAATTAAAAAAGATAAGTATACTAACATGCTTTGTAGATAGCGGAAATCTTACCTGTCGTGTTTCATCTGCCAATATTTGAACTTATTTCACCTAATGTTACGTAAAACATTGGAATAGACGCTAAACAAATCATATGGGTTATCGAACCTTATTCCTTCGATTCTGTGAAAAAATGTTTCGTAACATCCATTAACGATCTCCAAAAATGTATTTTTAAACGGTTCTAAAAATAATATATACATGATAAGTATCGTGAGGGTCATTGATAGGAATAGTTTCCAAATAAAAATAATTGAATTCAAATAAAACTGGTCTAATATGTATGTAATGGTAAATACATTTGTTTTTATTTACTGATGTCATGTAATCACTGTATAATTCTAAAGTTCGTCTTTTCGCGATCTTAATTTTCTGTTGCCTATACGATTCTTCTGTAATCTTAGGCTTCTTCTTCTAGGAATCGGAAAGTATGAATTGGGAAAAGTTGGAGAAAGCCGAAAAAGTTCAAAAGTTCAAAGCCCTTGAACTAAAAGTTGTGAAAATATACATATAGAACCGCGGAAAATTTTCACCTTCAACAGCTGTTATGTCCAATCAAAATTTTTATTTTTAAGTTATGCTTTGCCGCACCAGTGTTTGCAAGTCATAGTTGGTCTGTTTTCGGTAGCTTTGCCCGAAATTTTTTGGTAGATGTCGGTATACATTAAACCAAAAAGCAAAAACTTGCCGGTGATTGAAAATTGATGACGACTACTCGGTTTTGAAAACTGAAGAGCCCAGAGTTGCACCAAGTCAACGGGAGTGCTGATAAAGTGCTCTATTTTTGAGTTTCGTTAAGGTATATCAGATTTCGCATTAAAAGTGTCATTCTGCTAGATCTAAATTATCTGTATAGTTTTAGATGCAAAACTCAAACAAGCATAAATGCTGCTTGTTGAAAGATCTCTTGAATGGTTGCATTATATTCGTATTTTTATTCTTATATTTTTATTATAAAACCCAATGCATGTATTGGTTGTTACACAACAGATGGTATCAGATTTTCAAGTCTAGTTGCGTATTCTTTCTTCGGATACGTCTAGGACAATAAAAAATTCATTGTTAATTGCCTGCAGCATTATGCAAGAAAGGAGTGAGTGTATTTTTTCCATTTTAACGAGAGTCGTTACTCCGTCTGTTTCAATGACTTTCCTCGATCTGATGAATAGTTTTCTTGGAAATTGTGCTAGGTTAGGCGCGAGGCTACTCTCGAGGTAAAGCAGCGTTATTGTCTTTAGATGTTCACTAACAACGAAAGTATTTTCTTCAAAACACGAGTAGTCAGCAGTAATGAAATGGTAGTAGAACTAACCAAAGATAGCAAAATTCACATTCGACTCCTTTATAAAGATAAGATGGAATTGTAGTGTACAAAGCAGGACTGACAACACATATAAGTTGAGTGAGAAATAACATAGTGGTAACATATAATGTGTGAATCGATATCCATACTGGGTTTTGTAAAATACTTATATGTCAGAACAGATTATATAACATTTCTATTATATTCTGTTTCAAGACCTCGAACACAGTATTATATAATGATACACATCTGCTTCGAAATTCTCAATAATTGGATTGAATAGTATTTATTATGTGTTTTGAAGCGATTTACTATCACCACGAGACATGATTATTTCATACAAAAATATAATTACCTACATAAGAGTTTGTAAACAAACAGTTTGATCTGCTACGCAGTTTATAAGCGGACTAGAAAAAAAATGAGTCAAGTAGGTTTACTCTGCACTTCCTACACAACGCTGTCATTAGTTCACAGCCCCTACGAGAAAAAAAGTTAGCTACGAATATGTATAACAAAAAAAACATAAATGGATCAAGTTAGTCAAACATACAATTAAAATTTGCATATTTAGTATGTTTTTTTACAATGTTTGGTACGCTTTCACCCAAAGTTGTCGCTTGCCGATGGATGGCTCTCTCACTTCCCCGGAAAAACATAAACAGCAGTCGAGTAGTGAAGGCGGACTGCTACACACATGCATGGGCTGGACCGGTTAGCACGTATAATTGAAACGCAAGTGTTGGAGATATTTCTCTTCTCAACATTTCAAGTTTCAAATATAAATGTACGGGGAAATCTATGCTGAGTGAAATATGTCTATCAGGCACTGGAGGTGTACCAACTTAAAAACATTGAGACATATCCCTCTACAACCCCCCTCCCCCAATTTCTCACCCCTAATACTTTTTTCAAAGATGATCAGGATCCTCTGAAGTGAAAAAAGAACGAAGTTTGAGCAATTTTTATTCTTTTACTTTTTTGCTCGTAGCTCCGTCGCCACTGGACTGATTTTCAAAAGCTATAAAGGTTTTTCATCCTTGGCATAGAAGTAATCTTGTATGGAAATTAGGATTATCGGAGAGACAATCAGGCAGACAGACAGACAAACAGATGGTCAGATGGAAATGAACGACATATACGTCATATAACATCCAAAAAACATATTACCTTACTTTCGAAATTTCTGGCGGTTACAATATTTCCTCGTCAGTGGCGTAGGAAGTAAAATCTTCATAAATGCCATAATTCGTTTAGTCGTAGTATTCATAATGCCTACAAGTATGATCAGGAGCATTAACTTTTGAATGCGATGCAATGTATTCAGGAATACGGTTTCGTCTTGAAAAGTAAGAATCCCTTGAAAATTGATGCATGCGAAATATTAAAGATAAATTCCGCATCGCGCTTGTCGCCTAAATCGAAATGTCAAACTATTTCCTGCCAAATTTTTATCTGTTAACATATGTTAATCTTTTCGTGGTACAAGTCATCCTTGATAGAGCTTTCCTAGATCAGATCATACATGCGTTGTATTTTCCGCACACATTATACCCGTCTGCGACATTATGCTGGTTTTCCTACAGTATCTTACTATATTTTCAAGCTAATAATACCTCTGATACGCAGTATAAATAAAAAATTCGTATTGATTAAAAAGGCCACGTAAGTATTGTTTACGAATTTCTATAGTTACATAAAACAATAGACTTGGTAATTCGATTGACAACGGTACGCGTCTCGAAAACAAAATGTATATGTAAAGATAAAAACCGTATAAATAACTCCACTATCTATTAATAAGATAGCGTT